AAAAAAAAAAAAAAAAAAAAAAAAAAAAAAAAAAAAAAAAAAAAAAACAAGAAAAACATCATTTGACACACAAACATCCATCTCGATCGTTGAGTGATCGTTTCCTTGACAAGATAAGAGACGGTTTGATATTCTCTCGATTATGTTGAAATCGCTGAGCTGGCATTTTGACGTGATGGCAACTTTCCTCTCTCTGCGTGGCGATCGGCTTCTCTTTTCTCGAGAGAAGAGAAGAGACTTTCGCGACTGCAATAACCCGCACTCGAAGCCTAAAAGTGCCGAAGCCATCATCTCCCGATGTGCCAACTCGCACCACTCGAGACCACACTCCTACACTCGGTAGTAGTTTACTTCTCTGCGATAGTCGGGGGGGGGGGGGAAGTTTCTTCCGCGATCTCCATCTCGCGTCGGCACATTATTTTCTCATTGTCGGAGCTTATCGCTTGTTTTATATTCTCATTGACTGTGCGGATATTCTCTCATTGCGTTCAGAGATCACGGATATTAAACGTCTTGTTAAATATTCAAGTGTAAAAAACAATAATTAACAACAATTATAGTAAATAACGTAGGGTCTAGAAAATTAAATTAAAAAAAAAAAAAAAAAGATTAAAAATAGAGCCGAACGCTGGTGCTTTTTTGCGTAAAAGTTTTTATTTCTGTAATCTTCCAACGTCGTGGGAGACTAAGTTTCGCGACCTACAAAATGTGCTGCTTCAATCTTCGGGAGCAAAAAGGAGAGGAATTCTCTTTTTAGCCTTCACGTATTTAACAATTTTCAGCCTTTTACTTTTATTTTCTTTTTTTTTTGTTGTGTTTCGGGTTGAATAAGAACCCCGGAACTCGTAACGAACTCGCGCGTTATCGCTGTTGCTCTCCGACCGGATAAGAAAGCGCAATTAATTTTAAAGGCTCAATGCCGACGCGAGAACCGCCCCGCTCGACTCAAACCACGGTGTTTTATCCGTTTTTTTTTTTTTTTTCAGTTATTGACATTTTTCTCTCTCTGTCGCGTAAATTTAACAGCAACAAAAGACTTTGTTCTGTCCTCAAAGAAGATACACGTTGAAACTCGTCAAATGTTGAATAGTTTTCTTGCGCGGCAAGAGAAACGATTACGTCGTATCGATAACTTCAATCAGCGGCGACATTTTTCCGGATTCGTTCTAATTCGAACCGAAGTCCCCGGGGCCGTTAATCAAAGTCGCCGCTACTAATGTTGCCGCTTATGTATATGTTTCGCATAAACGTCAACGTCGCATCCGAGTTTCGGCAGCTAATCGCTTCTCGCTCATTAACTCTATTATGACGCGTTCGCAACAACTACACGAACATCCGTTATACATTACGGATAATCGTTGCCGCGCTAAGTTTGCGCTAATATAAATTCTCACCGATCTCTCTGAGGTCTAGATCGTGATTATCAACGTGCAACTAAATTGTTTTTTTTGCAAGCGGTTGGACAAATAATTTGTTGAAAAATCAGAACTTACTTCGGGCGTTGCGACGTTTTGTTCTGATAAATAAAAAAAAAAAAAAAAAAAAAAAAAAACAATAATTGAACACGAGGATTGTGCGAATTAAGCCGAGTTTTTACCGAACCCAGCTGTTATTTTCCGATCTATTTGACGTAGTTGTAATTTCGGACTAACAATTTTTGTAGCCAACTTCATCCACGCGTAGCACACTTTCTAGTTATTATTTGACAGTTACCGCGCAATAACTTCAACGTGATAAATAATAACGACCAGTTTAATTTCGGACGAGTTTTTTTTCCCCGAAAAACATTTTTCCGAGTCGGAACAGGGAGAGGGGCTTTACGCCGCGTAATTCGATATCTCGCGAGCGATTGCGGCGATGTTCGCTATATTTTAGGAGGAGCGGGGAGGCTGACGTGAAATGTGCCCAATTAGCAAAGTACGTTTCGGGACGCATCGGACGCTCTCTTTTAGGCATCTCTGATTTTCCGGACGTGCTCGCGAGATGTATCACTTACAGACGAGAGAGATTATTACGCCGATAGCTTTCTCGGCTGATTGTGTGGTCGTCTGTATATATATATATATAGAGATAGACGGAGCCGCATAAATGCGGAATTCCCGCCGAGTTTCCGGCGAAACCTGGACTTTCGGCGCGCGCGTCTCGTTCTGCATATTTGGTAAGCGCTGCAGTTATTTGCTTTCGCCTCGGCGGAAAAATAAATTTACGTAACTTCTTCTGCAGCTTTCACGGCGAAGAAAGAAGTCGGATATTTCATTTTGTGCGAGGGAATTCAACACTGACTTACGCGAACAAAACACAATTCCGCGCAAATCGGGGAAATGCTCGCTCAAGTAAAGGTCTATATTGTTTTGTCTTTTTTTTTCTTTTTTTTTTTTTGCTCAACCGGGAATCTCAATTACTATATTTGCCTCTCGCTGAATTTTCTTTCAATCGCGACGCGAAGAGAAGAAAATTAACTCAATTATATTAACAATAATAATATTCTGGCCAACATACGGCGGCGTGTATGAAATGTTTTTTTTTTTCTTTTTTTGACAGCCGAAGCGCGTGAAAGTAAATTGGATTATTCTCAA